TTTTTTCATTTGTTTATTTAATGTTGTGTTAACTTGGGGTTATACTTGGTGGTTTGTTTCAGCTACTTAGGCTAGGGGATTTCATAATGTCTAAAAAATATTTTGTGGCTCAGTTGATGATCAATTTGATAAAATTATATGAAATTTTATTGATTTAAAACATTATTAAAAACACTAAGCCATGTTGTGTTTTTATTGTTGGAGATGCATTGTTCAATATCTCACAAATCACTTTGCATTACACTAATGTATTTTTTTTTAATTTTTAATTTGATCCTTGAACTTTTTTTTGAGCAATTGAAACTCTTTTAAGCCCAAATTAAAATCCAATTGCATATTTTTTTGAAGAACTAATTGAATTGAAGGATAAATGATCAAAATAAAAAAGGTTAAGTAAAATAGGTAGTAGCTTTTAATTTCATATAAAAAATCTAATTTTTGGTCTTCCATCTTTTTCAGTTTATAAGTGATTAATCTTTTTAGTTGTTAAAAATTCAATTTTGTTACTAAAATTCATTCTCCTCGTTCTTCAATTATTTTTTTATAACGGGGAGAGAGAGAGAGAGAGAGAGAGCCTTCAAATTTTAGTGTAGAACGAGAGAGTTATCGTTAATAACAATTTTGACTATAAAAATAGTTGAATAAGTTCCATTTTGTAAGGAGAGTTTCACCTAAATGTTTTTTTCTTTCTCCTTATTGAGAAGGTAGATGTAACCGCATGAATATTTTTTTATTCATGTTGATTTAAGTATTTTTTGCTCTTTTTTTTGGGTTTTGGAGACAAAGGATAGTTTTATATAGATTATTAGGATTTTTTTAGATGTTTCAGATCAAAAATAGATATTAAGGCAAAACAATCAGGACCTTATTTTTCTAGTGACCTCTAGTCACTTGATTATATAAAAAGCAAAAAACATATCATCTTTTGTCTTTTTTAAAAATAAATAAATTAGATGATTAAGGAAAAAAAATAGGTAAGTTAGGTAGAAGACTTAAACACTTTGGCTATTTATTTTTTAATTCCCAGACACATTGGGCCACAAGCCCACGTGCCTTGGCATCTTTTAATTTTTTTTTTGTTATTTTATATTTTGATTAAAAAATCATTAAATCCAAATAAGTTTATGAGTTGGGTCACAAATTTAATGAGTTAATCTGCAATATCCGAGTTATTATTATTTTTTTGTTTAATTCCTTTTCTATGTCTCAATTTTTTTTAAATATAATTTTATCATTTGTTATCAATGATCTTTCTCTCTTTCTTTTTTTTTTTTTAAATTTGATTCAAACCTAAAAGAATACAATTTCACCATTTGTTATCAATGATCTACTTTTTCTATCTCAACCCCACGTGCCTATCATGGTTTATTTACTTTACAAAAAAATGTGTCATATAAAAAAATTATCATGCACTTTATTGTCATAATATTAAATGAAAAATAATCTTTGGAATAAAAAAATTATTGAATCTAATGACGTGCACTACTTACTCGAGCATTTGCTTGGTTAATTGAGTTCAGTTAGGTTTTTTACTTGAATATTTTTTTTACTGATTTTAAACTTTAATATTGAATTAATTTGGTATTGAGCTTTCCAAATTTTTTTTCAAGATTATCCCAATGAGTTTCACAAATCAACCCAGGTTAATCTATATATATCAAATATTTTTCCATCACAATATTAGGTGTAAATATCATTCAAATTATGGTTAAATTTTTTTTTCTTATTTGAGGAGATTGAGACAAGTCATTAATGCCTAGATATTTTTTTTATGCACTTCAAATATTTTTTGCTCTGACCCTCCGCGTAGCATGGGCCAATGAGTTAGTAAAACTAAGGGGTATGGCATTTTCATTGTTCATCAAGACAAAAAATAATAATAATGGATTGTAATATTGTTCCATCATGTCTTCTCCTTTTTTTCATTTTGATCCCTCAATTGTTTTCACTTTACCGGTGCTTTTATTTAGGATTAGACTTGGTGGTTTTTCTAGATAATTGTGCTAGGGGATTTTATGATGTCGAAAAAACAATTTATGGCTCGGTTGGTAATGGTTTCATAAAATTATATGAAATTTTATTTATTTTAAACAATTAAAGCATAGGGATCGAATCTAGACAAATACACAATCATTTTTTTTTTGCTAGCATCAAGGACTGAATTGAATAGGCATGGAAAAATATCTGGCCCTTATTTTTATCATTTGATTATTTGTTCAATTTGATCATTTATATTGAGTTTATTTGTGATTAGATTTAATATTTTTTATTGTTGCCTAGATATAAGGATCTCATGGTGTCAAGAAAATATTATATCAAGCAATCTATGCTCAATTTTACAAAATAAAAAATAATTTTATTTATCTAAAGCAATTAAGGCTTGAGGGATCTTGAAATATTTCAGAATACCTTGGCCTTCAATTTGAAGCTGAAACAAAAGCAGGGAAGAAATTGAATGGGTAATGAGGGAATTGATGGCTCATGCAATGCAAGTGCAATCATGCGAGGAGATTCGCCATGCAATGGAGGCATATGCATCCTTTTCTAGCCTCAAAAGCTTCTGTCATGTCTATTGAATCATCTCAACAAGGGCTACAAGTTAAGGTGGTGTGTTATGGATTATAGATGGTGTGTCATCAACTTCCCACTCTCTTTTTTCTCATTTGATATTATGTTTCACGTCATGCTTTCTCAATTTTCTCTTATAGCAATTTTTTTTCCCTTTTGATTTCTATTTGTTTTTTTTTTTAGCCTTTCTTATTGAAATTATTTTAACAATATCATCATTTGGCATTGGATTGAATGGAGATTAAGCTTCATTTCTTTTATTTACTATGTATAGGGTAATCTTGATCTTATAACTTAAGTTGTGGGTTTGGAAGGTTAACATATATTGACTTAGATCATTTATTTTAAATGGTCTATCATTAGCATCATGTTTTCCCTTCCTCTCTTTTTTTTATCTCTCTTCACCTTCGGTTTCATGTCATTCTGCATCAATTTTCTCTTATGTCAATTTTGGTTTTTATTTGTTTATTGTTGTTTTATTTTTATTTAGGTGATTTTTTATTTAATTACTTTTCAATCTCATCTTTCGGTATTAGATTGATTAAGAATTAAGCTTTTTAATTTTTTTTCAAATTATTCTCTTTATGGGGTAATCCTAATCTCATGACTTAGGAAACGAGTTTGAACAATTAATCTAGGTTAACTTGGATCATTTCTTTTTAGAGTCCTTTTTAATTATTTTTTTCTCAATTTCATCATAAAACATTTGGTTAATTGGGAATTGAATTTTTTAATTTTTCAAAAAAAAACTTAAGGGGTTATCTCGATTTTATAACCCTAGTCACAGGTTTTACAAGCTAATCAAGGTTGCCTCAAGGTTTTTTTTTTTAATTTATCATTCTTTTAAATTGATTTTTTTCAACCTTGCCCTTTAGCATTCTGGCGGTTTTGGAATTGACTCTCTAATCCTTTTTAGTTTGCTTTTTATAGGTTTATCTTGTTTTTATAATCCAAATTGCGGGTTTAGCAAGTTTACTCTAACTTACTTGAATTGTTCTTATTTTATTTTATTTTTAAATTGATTTTTTTTTTCTTTTGATATTAAGTTGATATGGAATTAAGCTTCATAATATATTTTGATTTGTTTTTTATAGAGTTATCATGATTTCATTACTTAGATCATGAATTTTACAAGTTAGTCATAATTGATTCAGATCAATCTAATATATCATTGTTTTAATATTTAAAAAAATTATATAATTGAATAACGGGTCACTAACTCAATATCTAAGAAGATATCTTCTAATATGCATTAGGCTATTGTGCAACTAGCTTTCAAATTGTGGGACAAAACAATTCAACTGTTTTTTTTCCCCTTCCTGAAACCATATAGATCGAACCCACAACCTTCTAAATAAGGCAAGAAGCAACTTTCCACTCATCTTAAAAACCAACGGTGCCTGCAAAACGCTGATGCATCTATTGAATCAACAAAAAGCATGAAAACCAAAGAATTTTTTCTAGCTTTCTGTGATGCTCCAAGTATATTCATACTTTTGCTTGGTCCACAAACGTAACTGTAGATAAACCAGCTAGCATCACTTGAAAACTTGATTTTAAAATTATTCCATAGGGACGTATGTTCAAAAAGTTGATTCTATCAAAATGCATTTAATTAATCTTTCTAAAGAAATATCAAACCTTTATTTGCTTACCACTGCAAGATGGAAGAGGGTGGATGGTGACTTACGCACCTATTCTGGTTATGGTGGGCATGGCTAAGGGTCTAGAAATGGAATGGAACTGGATCGCTTTGAATCTTTCTGCTTGGGTCGTTGTTTGTTAAAGCACAATTTGGGCTACTTTATTTCTTATAAATTGGCTTTCTTGGTAGCCAGTGATGTAATTTTTTGGGATTGTTTTTATATGGGCTTTTGGTAGTCTAAACCCATTTGAATATGCTAGATTGTCTTCCTCTTTCTTTATTATTGTTATTATTTCTTTATTATTGTTATTATTTATTGTCATGGGAGCTAGTTTCTTCTTTTAAAATGGTTTGTGCTATTGATAATTTGAAATTACAACGTACAAACTCAGTACCTTGAGGTTTAATTTGTTTTTTATTAAAATTTCAATTTTATTATTATAAATTAATTTTTTAAATGTTTTTAAATTATTTTAATATATTATAAAAAAAAACATTTTACTGAAAGTGAGCTCATCATTAAATAATTATAATGACCATGCAAATTTCACTTTCTAGTACAAAAATATGCTAGTCCATGCCACACCTGTAAAATTGGGCCTCTCGAAGCTTTCGATTCGTTTTTAGGCGCTAGAGATATCGCCCACTACAACTCCAATTATAGTCTTGGAAACTAGTTTAAAACATTTTTACAGCTAGAATAAATAAGAAATAGAAGATATATTTTACATAATATTTTCGATAATGATTTTGTTTTACCCAAAAAAAAAATTATTTGAATGAATTAAATTTTTTAAAATTTACTAAACTAACGTATAATGAACGCTTTAAGATTAACAGGATTAACGTGTAAATTAATTCAAGGATTCTTTACAGTCGATTTAAAAAAGAAGAATAAGACCACAATGAAGGGGATTCTCTGTTCAGTTTGGTACATATGTTACAATTAAATGTTCTTTTTTATTATTTATTTAGATCAAGCTAAAAATACTCTTGCTGGATGCGCCTCCATCTTTCCAATTCAAACACGAAAAGGTAACCTGCAAGAATTTTGGAGTTGCATTATATAAAAATTAACACTACCAGGAACCAGAACGATAAAGATTAACTGACAGGAATAACCTGGAAAACAGCAAGTAAATAAACTACTATGTCATTATCAGTTTGAAGTTGTTTGGATTTATGTAGTTATAATGAGTTTGAATGAGGCGTGAAACCGCAAGAAAAAATGATATTAAATATGATTTATTGCTTGGGCCATATATGATGTTTGTAAGAACTAGTGAACGAAAACAGAAAATATATGCATGAGAATTAGTGTAACAAGCCAACCCTAGTGTAAGAAAAGCGCAAGGGCTGTCACAGTCCTGACAAGGATCAGCTGAGCTCATGCTCCTGGTATTGGTCACCAGAGAATCTGATGACTTGTCTGGTTCGAGCAAATGCCTTTGGCCTGCTGATAAATTCATCACCTGCCAAATAAAAACTGAACTCAAAATTGAGAGTGTGTGACAAGAAGGGACTGAAAATTCGAAAGGGATCTCGTAGTCTCACTTGCTGCTTCAATCGCCGGTTCTCTTCTACTAATTGCTCCCCCTACAAATTAACAAAAAATAATATGGAATTGAATAGACAGTGACCATGGTAATCATTTGATAATCCAAGAAAGTGTGGTAATAATATCAGTTTATGCTCATCATATATATGGCCGTGTTTGATTTTATTGATTCATGATTAAGTTTTGAATCTTAATTTATAATTTTTATGAATTTTTGCATGAATATCCTGAAAATGTTTGAAGTAAGGAATGTGACCTCGTTCTTGAGAGTATTGATCTCATTCATAATTTTACCCTCCTGAAGCAAATAGAAGTTGAAACATGTGTTAGGTATTGTGCAGAGTTTTTATCGTACCTAACCACTGAATCAAGAGAAGAAAAGACTACACAAACCTTTTCTTCCACGACGCGACACAAGCTTGTTTTGATTAATTTTTCTAATTTATGTAGTTCTTCCAAGTTCAATCCTTGTAGGTCTTCTCCCCTCACGTGCCTGTCATCAATGGATCATTATATGTCTCAGCATTGCAAATAGGAATGTTCATCTATTGTCGCAACAAGTATTAGTCATGTAAGTTTACCTCAGTTCACGGGTTTTCTCCGCTATTTCTTTGTTCAGCGTGGCATACACAGCACCATCAGGCTAAAAGGATAACAGAATATTGCCTTTATTTATTGCATAAACATGCTATCTTATGGAATTTAATAATGTTAGATTATTGAAATGAGATCTCCTCCTTCTTCAACTTGGTTCAAAGTTTCTGAATCAGATTATCTAGCGTAAAGTTGCAAGCCATCATCCATTTTACAAGTTCAAACCATAAAATCAATATCACATCCTATTTCAAAATCCTGAGTTATCATTCAGAGGCTGAGGCTTATGATCTAAGTCATAAGGACATGATTTGGATAGAGAACTTGAGCATGAATCACACTTATTATCTCTAATTGTTATAAAAACACTATAGCATGCAAATAGACTTATGATCTAAGTCAACACATGTTAGAGATGCAGCAAAACAAATTATACTTCTCTTCAACAATAAAAACATGCACATTTGAGTGAAAGAAAAGCTAGTGTCAAATAGAATTCAACCAAAATGCTTAAGTTATTATATGAAATCCCAAGATATAATTTATATTATTTCATAACACATCCCTTCAAATGAAAACCCTTTAAGTTTGAAATTTGAATAAATTCATACAATTTTGTGCTTAATTTTTAATAAATAAATAGAAATGGTAAGATTTCAAACCCATGGCCGCTTGGTCATCAAGACCCTGATATCATATCAAAGAACCAATTTAACTCAAAAACTTAAAAATATTAGGTGAAGTCTTCAGATATAATTTATATTATTCTCTAACGGTTAGGAAAATAATTTGATGGAAAATAACGAGAGAACAAAGAAAAACTAGTTATAATAAAATCTAGTCATGCACTTAATATTCAATCCACCTTGGTTAGCAAGCCAAAAAGAAAAGGAATTGTTGTTTACCCTTTATTCATTTCTTCCTATGATATTAAGAGCAATCTTCATATCGATGCAAATTCAAAAACTTGGTAAGCTAAAATATGAAAACTAATTACCTGCAGCTCAAGAGATGGTTGGCCGAACATGTCGATGTTCTTTAGATGTAGATTGCGCCTTTCAAGCACTTGCCCCACGCTTAAAGAACAAAAGGTAGACCAAGTCATTTCTTGAATTATTGATTATGAAGATTAGGTAAAAACTAGCTATTTATTGTTAGAAAAATTAATTGCTAGCTACTTGGACTGTTCCAAGTATTATTTTAGAAAATACCCTCTCTTTTCTAATTATAAGTATGTTCTTTCTACAATAATAAATAGAAAAATATCAATTGAAAGGTAGCTATCTCTTGTAAATAAAATCTCAGATGATGCACAAGCCAAGGGAAAAACCCTGGCTTCAAGGAGTCATAATGGTTAAGGCAGGGTGATCATCCAAAAACTTGGAAAATCCAAAAGGGAAAACAAAGTCCAAATAGAAAATGAAGAAGACTAGACATAGCGTCAACAGCAACATGAAAGACACGATTTAACTAGAATTGCGAAAGCAGAAAATTGAGGATGCAGAGAGAAAGGTTATCTAGTCAAGATACATCAAACAAAGCAAGAGAGATGATAACTTAACACAGACCAAACAGCAGCATCCACACAAACGTAAGAATGATTGGTTCCAGGAGCCAAACGACAGCAAAAGAATCTGAGATTGGAGACACAACAACAACAAATATCAATAGCAAAATACCCTATACATGAAGCTAGAAACGGAGGCTGGCCAAGATACACAAAAAAAACCCCACAAATAGCAGAAACCAAGAAGTGAGAATTCCATATGAAGTCAAGAGGGGAGAGGGGAATCCATGGTCATGATAAGACCAGCAAAAAGAAAAACACCTTCACTTTACCAGATAATTAGCAGGGAGAGGAAACTGAGTCTGACTAATCAAAAACAAGCAAATATTGTAACCAAAACCAGCCGCACCAACTCATGAAGTCAACTATTAACTCCACCAGACCACAGACTAATTACACAACAGGCAGAAAGCATGGCTGGGCAACAAAGTACAAGACCATCCACAAGATGCCTCCTAGCTAGTTATGATCCATGCGTAATTGATGAATCTTCTAAAGGCAAACTTAAACAACTAGCATCAGAAAATCTTGAATGGTAATGTGAAATTTATCTCAAGTGTCAAATATTGAGTAAACCCTAATATTGGATGCAACATCAATAACAAATCCTACAAGAAGCTTACAGTAGTAACTTGATCTAACAATAACAAACCCTAATCCATCCTTGCAAGCAAGTATGAAATGTTCATTAACTATACTTGTTGAACTCCCCAAAAAGAAAAGAAAAGAGTAGCTTAAAATAACAAGAAAAATGTATGTCTTATACTTTTTTAAGACAAATTATTTATTAGTACATTTTCCATATCTTTATATTTAACTTGAAAGTTTAGTTCTAATTTTTATACAAAATGTGAGATTATTTCTGGATTTTCCAAACCGATCCAAGGGTGGACATATATGAATGCATGAGAAAGGGGCAATTTTCCCCTTATATTCTTCAAATATTCATAGCAGCCCTTATAATAGTTTTTGAAACTTGTCCATCAGTCCATGTCACATGATAGCCACCATGTAATAGTCTACGAAATTATCCTTTACATGGGCTATTTTGTAATTATTTCAAATTCATTTTCGATTCAGTGGTTCTGCTTACATACAATATTACTTATTAGAGTAATTCTTTGCACCCTTACTCCAAATTCTAACTTTGCATGTGTGCCAAACCAAATAATTCATTAATCAGACACAAGAAGGATATAGCTGGAGTCAATTATTATCAATTAACCATAAAAGCTCATTAAATTCCTATATAAGAAAAAGAAATAAAGAGACACTGATATTTATTTTTATTTTTATTTTATAGGGGAAAACATAAAAATCAAGGTCATTGATAAAAAATACATAAAATCAAATTCAAATCATACAATATCATTTCATAATTTTACATGCAATAAAAAGGAAAACTTAACGTCTACAACTATATTGATCAAGTTCTAAGCAAAAAGTGATTGTTTTTTGAAAAATAATAAAATAAAAGTCAAACTTGAAATTAGCCATGAAACCCTAATTGGTGTTCATTTTAAATTCTCTACCCATCACATGCCTTTTATAAGCACATGTTACTAGGATTGAGATGCATCTACTAAAAATCAAGTTAAAACTTTAATTTTCATACTAAATATCAATTACTATTTTACATTTTTTTTTGTCAGAATGCAAATGCATTCTCTGTTTTGAAGAAAAACTACATATTAAGGGAAAATGTTTATTGAAATTGATTGATTGTTGGGATAAGCACCGAAAAGTTTATTTTTGAAAGATAAATGGCCAATTAAGTTCTATAATATTTTTGTTAGACCAATTAGTTCAGTTTTCAGATTTCTCTTTAAGGTAAGTTTATGTCTTATTATATTTTCATATAAAATTTTAAAAATAGATTAAAAAAATTATATGTCCTTTTTCATCTTAGAAAACATTTCCCAACAAGTTTTTTTAAGTAATTTGTTTTTCAAATGGTAATTTTTTAAATAAATAAAAATTTTCTTGAAAGATAAAATATAAAAATAAACTTATAGATCTTCAGAGTTGACCACAGAACTAGAACTAACTGGTAATTTGTCTTTAAAAAAAAAAAACTTACATATACTTTTATGTTAGTTGTTTCATTATAATTTTATTCACTTAGTTGTTACCCAATGCTAGATGGACTCAACATTTTATGATTAAAACTCCATTTCTTAAAAAACAATAACAAAATTAGGGCATGCTAGGCACGCATCAAGGCATCAACCACTCTGTCATCTTTGGATAGTGTATGCGGTTGACTCCTACTACTAAAAACATCATTCTCGGGTGTCATTAAATTCATCTCGGTGTCTTCTCCATATTAAGGTGGCGTGTGCAGAAAATGAAATTCTGGTTTGGCTTTGGCGGACATTTCTTTTTTTTTTTTCTTTTTTTGGTCCTTTCTCCCCCTCGATTTGTGCATCCTAACATGCAGTTTTCAAATCAACCCCTTAGCTTCTCTATGTTTTTTTTTCCTTATCTTTTGGTTAATATTTGTTTTATTTCAAGTAACTTATAAAAATGAAAATTTGCTTCAATTTTTTCGTATATTATTGACAGGTATTTTTTTACTGTTCGTGTCTTACCGGATATTGGGTTCTTCTTGCTTTTTTTCAAAACGCAATCGTAGCATGGGTTCCAGAACTCTAGTTCATCATTATAGGCAGATGTAATCAATGATCTTTGTCAAAGAATACGTATAGGTGGTGCTATATTAGCTTAGGGGCATTGAAGTTTCAGAATTTGACCGAAAATTTTCTGCAAAATGAAGGCCTTACCTAATCGAGTAGTCTATGCCCTATATTTTATGAGCACGTCCTTATAGTAAGTAGTGGTTTCTAGGTGCATAGAAAATGGCAAAAACAACTTAATGATATCAGTGGCTTTGGTCTCTCTTGGCAGAATAAACAATTACGACATTAAACCATAAATTTTTAAAGTTTCATATAGCAATTGAGCTAAAAAATCGACTAGAAAGAGAAGATATTACTAGATTGAATGTTATCCCTTCTATTCTCCACCCATACTAATTTCTCCCTAAAGCACTCCCCTCTCCTCTTCCCTTGAAATATATCATTTTGCTCACAGATATCGAGAGGTTCTATTGTGCATGTATTTCAACCATTCTCTTCTTTTTTTCAATTGAGATGAGAAAATGAAGACGAAAATAGCAAGATAATGAAAAAGAGAAGGACCTTGAGTTTGAGTACTCAAAAAGCTTGCCAGATGCAGAAAACACCATGAGAGCAATCTCAGCATCACATAGAGTTGAGAGTTCATAAGCTTTCTTGAAAAGCCCTCTTCTCCTCTTTGAGAAAGTAACTTGTCTTGCGATTGCGTCGTCTATCTTCTTGATCTCGATTTTCCTTCGAGTCATCTTCCCCGAGTAAAAGAAACAAAAATCCAACTAACCCTTCATGCAAAATCAACCAAGATAATTCATCACATACTGATCAAAATACAATCCCTAGGAGGATGAGAGAGACAGGGTAAAAAAACCGTAGACCTAGTGTTATATGCTCACTAATAGAGGACAATACCGATGTTTACAGGCAGAAAAATCAAAACCCCTTACAACATTGAATGAGAAAAAGCATGCACCATACATACTCAACAAGTATATTTACCAGGAAATCAATTTTTTCTTGAATGATATGTATGCACACATGTATTAAAATACATGAACAGAGAAGGAAGAAGGAGAAGAAAGAGTGATGATACAAAATAAAGAAACCTGGATCACTTCCTTACCAGAGAAGTCCCTCCAGAAGGAAAAACATCAACTGAAGATCTGGAGTTACAGTAATGAACAGCAGTGGATCTTAATTGCAAGAAATCAAGAAGGGATCTTTGGCTACAGAAAAATCAAACCACAAAAGGAGAGAGGGAGGGAGGGAGACAAAGGTATACTGCCAATTACAGAAAAAATAATTGAAGAAAGCAAGGGTCCATCGACCACTCAAAAGAACTCGCCTATATATGGAAAATTAAGAAAAACTTATCTTGCTCCAATAAAAGAAGGGCAAACTTTCCCCAAAGAATCTTGAAGTGAGTGAAAAAGTTAATAATAGTAATAATAATAATAATAATAATAATAATAATAATAATAACAATAAACACATAATCTAAATCATTTATTTCCGTCCTCCTTTAACTATTTTTTTTGGTGCAGTGACACTTCACAGAAAATCAACGTCAAGTCCCTCCACCAATGGTATTTATAGAGAGAAAAAGACGTTAACGGAGTCATCTCGACCTAGTCACGGTGTGCAATTTGCTCCCCGATTGTTTAATTATTATTTTTTAAGTTTTAAGGAGAATGCTTGGAAATCTAAAAAATAAATTAAAAAGAAAAGAAATGGAAAAGCTAATATTTAATTATTGTTGTGAATTTGCTTAGTGTTATTATTTATTTGTTCTCGAAGTTTTTTTCCATTATTTGTTCAACATCAATTAATTTTTTTCATTCACTTTTTTTTTCAAATTGAACCTACCACATTTAATTAATTTTAAATTAAATTTAATAATTTATTTATTTTGAATTTTTAGGCATTTCTCACAATATAGAAAAAAATTATGATATTAATTGATGATTGATTTGGTCAAATCAAATCAAATTTTCATAATTATATTTAATTAAAACTCTAGAAACCAAAATTGACGTTGAAGCTAACTTTTTATTTTTTTGTACTAAAGTCTACGCTCATTGTTTTATTTATTTAGCCTCCATATTTTTTATTTTTTTTAATCTTAAAAGTATTTTTATATTTTAATTCATAAATTTATTTTTTTATGTTTTAATCCTCAAGTCAAAGAGAGTGAAAGAATAAACATTATAGTATTTTTCTGGATTTATAACTAGTATTTTAAGTTCAAAATTGCTCTTTTTATTGTTATTAATAACTAGCTAAATTTCGTTCACAAAAAATAAAGAGTAAACAACTTAATTTGTTTTTGTTCTTAATTTTATGAATATATACGGTTAAAACACAATATATATTTGAAAAGAATTAGTGTAATGCTTGCGATAATAACATTTTTTTAATCCTTTACCTCTTTAGTAGAAATCTTAGCTTCTTCGCTATCAGGAATCCACCATTTCCTAAGGCATTGCATTCTCTTGGAAGCAAGGAATGTGATTCCTTCTAAAATGATGGGAATCACAATCCAAAGGCAAGAAAATGTGTTTTGAAATTAAATTCCCTATCATTAATATTTATTGGACCCATACAATCCTTACTTTCTAGCATTTCAATATGTTAGCTTTCAATAGTAGTAACATGGTTTTTTTTTAAGTTTGTGAATTAAAGATATTTTTAAGCTAGCTTTCGTGCATTATCAAAACCAAGCACACATCAAAATTAAAGAATTCATATAAATTTTACTAATAATTAAAAAATAAATACAACTAATTCCCTCAAAGTATAAAGTATAAAGTTATCTTTTGAAAATGTAGTATAAATTATGTTTTTTAAAATTTTTATTTTTATTAAAAATTAATTTTTTATGTCTCGAATTGAATTGTTTTGATGTATTAATCTCAAAAATAATTTTTAAAAATAAAAAAAAAATATTATTTTAATACATTTCAACATGAAAAATACTTTAAAAAATAACAATAATTATACTCTCAAACAGACTTACATCACTTCTATAATATTTTTATCGAGAATTAACTAAATGATATAATAATGTTTTTTTTCATATACATGTTCATATCAATGCCTATATCAATTTAGTCAAACATGACTATAGTTGACAATAGTGATAAAGTCAAACAAATCATCGTACTATTTTTATGGATATGTTTTGGGCTAAGTGTGTATCATTGATTTGATTGACGAATTAATTTGGGTTTTTCATATAAAAATTTTAAAAAATATTTTATACTTTTTTTTTATCTAAATTTCAATTTAGTTCCTTTATTTTTATAACAATAAGAAATTTTAGATTGATTATATGCTAATTTCTGCAATAAACAAGTATATTTTATTTTATTGGTCCTCAAGTATATTTTTAATTATATTGTTTAGTATGAATACTAGTATTTTAATTATTATCATAAATTTATCGGTTTTTTAAAATATTATTTAATTATTTTGTAAATTTTTGGACAATAGATCGAACCCACAACCTTCTAAATAAGGCTACAAAATCGTCGAGCCTGCAAAACTATGTCACATCTGTACAGTCAACAAAAAGCATGGAAAAACAAGCAATTTTCTTCTAGCTTTATGTTATGCTCCATGGGAACCCTAGTCTATTCATACGTAGCTATGGTCCCCATACGTAGCTATGGATAAACCAGCTAGCATCGCATGAAAGCTTGATTTTTAAATTATTCCATTCAGACGTATGTTCAAAAGGTTGATTCTATATATATATATATATATATATATAAGGCATTTAATAGTTTTTTAAATAAGTTATTCATTAAATCTTTTTCACTTAAAATGAAAAGGTACGTAAATTATTGTACTCTCCGATAAAAAAAATATTGTGCTTATATCACATCATCTTTTTTATTGAAAAGACCGAATCCAATCGTAATCAAAACTTAGACTTTTAAAAAAATATTTTTATAATAATGTTTGGGATGTTGCTATATAATGGATTACACATGATATAAGATTTGTATTCTCAAGATCTAAAAGTTATCTCCACCTTTATGTTACGGGTCAAATAAAAAAAAATAAAAAAACGTTATAAAGGAATGTTTACACTGCGGGAAACTCTTGAGAGTACTATTAAATTTAGTTCAAGAGATGAAATTTGAACCCGGCTTTCTACCTTTTCAAATTATTTTTTAATAAAAAAATTAACACTTGTAAAATCTAAAATCAATTTTATATTAAGATGTTTTATAAATTATGAGCATTATTTTCTAAATAAAAATCCATTATGGTGTTAGAATCAAATTTAAAATAAAATATCCAAACAGAGTAACAATGTTTTATTTATGGTTGAAGGAAAAACAATATTGATAAATATGATAAGTTGATATAAAAAAATGAATTAAAAATCTTTAAAAAAAAACATAAACTTCATGTTAATTATATATCCATAATTTAATTAGCATATAAAAAATATCCATAGAAACTCTTTAACATTATTATTAAATTCAGTTTAATAGGTCAAACTTTAAAAACTAAAAATTAATTTAAATTGATAAAATCTTGTAAACTTATATTTACCATTTCAAGCAAGATGAAGATGAAGGTCAAAGAACATAGTAATGCAATTTCTTTCATCCAAAGAAAATATTTGACACTAAAATTAATTTTTTTTGTGGTTATAATTAGTGTCAAATGATTATTCTCTCTCTTATCGTTATTTTTAAGTCAGTTTATCATCTCTCTAATTCAAGAAGTAAGAAAATGAAAAAAAAAGTTAACCAAAATAAAAATTGTAAATTTTTCTCATATTTTATATTTTAGTCTCTGTCTCTATATGTTGTATATTTACCATAATTTAAAGCATTGCTAATTATTTATTTATTTATTTATTAAGATCAAGCTAAAAATACTTGGATTGAGAGTGGCTAGAAATACTTGAAACCCTGCTCTTCACAAATCGCAGTCATGGCATGAAAAACCGAGTTCCCTACGCCCACAGAACATGACAAACTTGATTTAGCAAGAAAAGGTATCAAGTCACATTGATATTTGGTTAAAATTAATTTGAAACACAAATTTTCCCATCCACTGCACTATCTTTGAAGAGCATGTAAAATGAATAAAAGAAAGATGGAGATGCTAGTAACATGTATGTAGACAGACATTTTACTTCCATGCACTAGTATTGCTGCTGCTGCGGGCACTAAGCAAGAGCAAGGAGAGATGCAGACACAAGAAGAATCATTCTAAGCCCCACAGATCGAAGAGTCATGGAACCCATCATTTCACTTTTACATACAGTGGAAGCAACTCCCTGTTATTTAACAAGTTCCTCCAGTCCACTGTAAAACTTTCTTCATCTCTAGCAGCTAATCATGCAGCAAGCCATTAAACAAAGAGAACCAAGCTAGGAGGCTAAAATATGTATGCAACTGAAAGAAAATGGTGTGCGTGTCTACATATGGACCCAATATATAATGAAAGGGTGTGGATTGAACCAATGAAATTGTTGTTATTGCCCTGAAGGCCTGAACCAGGAAGGATAGATCATCCTTTGCACGTAGGAGTGTGTGTATGAAAAAAAACACAATGGATCAGTCAATAAAATTTGCAACCGGGCACGGAAGCCGTTGTTACCCTGTATGAAAGCAGGGAATCTTACCGATGACAGGCTGGATCATACCTCTCACATAAAAGAAGTTGAGGGATGGGAAATCATTATCAATACTCTGTGAATGGTTTGCTAATATCTAGATCAGATCATGAGCAGGGCATGCAAAAAATGAAGGATATGGTCTGCATGCAATGATGTAAATGAACATACATGAAATTCGGTGAGTAGCACAGCATAAACAGGCTGCTCGTTGAGTAGCACCAAGAAAATGGGAAGGATAAAACTGAATGAGGCTACGAATAACAAGATGGATTAATGGCTCAGAAACTACACTTCAAAGAAATTAACTGTCATAAATAGACAATAATGATTGTTCGGGCATTAAAAATTGCATTGGGAGCAGTGCTTCACAGGGAAACCTCATGTACAAGAGTGAGAGCAACAGATGGTACCTGAGTAGCTCAAAGGAGTCCCAACTTCACTGCTCACAAAATAAGGGTTGCATGACGACGTCACATTTAGGAAACTCATTCCCCTCTCACAGAATATTCCTCGTGTATTATATACAGTTGAGGAGCTGGTCAACCTACATGCTTTTCAGAATTAAGATTATGATCCTGGGCAGGACTTTAATGCAATATTAATCATGGAACGATAGAAAGAGATGCAGCAAAGCTAGAACGAAAGGCAACACTTCACCAAGTCTACAAGAGCATAGCTGTGAACAACTAGGCATATCCAAGAGAAAGTAAGGGATAAGCCTAGCACAAAGGTAATGCAAGGTTTGTGGACTGGAATGAAGCTAATAGGGCTGCAGACTGCATCTGTTATTGCTGGACCAGGATTAAAAATTGATGCACAACTCAAAAGTGTATTGTAAGCGCTTCAATCAGTTTAGCAACTTCAACAACACACTTTTCAACAACATGAAATCATTTAAGATCTTTGAAAAAAAATCCCGAAAAAATGTAGAGGCTTTATTCCATTTTATAATGAAATTTTATAGTTCTGAAATGCCTAATAAACTCCGTGGTTCTTGAAACATGCTTCTCTGATATACCTTGAAAGTCTCATAAGTAGCATCCCTAAAGGAACCATTTTCACCATGTTGTCCACATACGCCCTCCAGTATGTTGTGATATTGATTTTTTATTTTATCTTACACGCAAACACTGAGCATATGTATGGCACAGCAAGTTGCAGCTGTGGCAACCTCTCTCATAAATTTCATGGAAACCTGAACTGCATATCAGTGTTGTCGAAAGGCACTCCAGGTGAGGCCCCAGCACCTTTATTGGCCTCTGGCGTTGGATTTCAATGAAGCGCCGCAAGGCGAGCACCTGGTCAGTGGGTGCAATGCGTTAAGGCTAGCGCCTGCTTGAAGTTATTTTTATGTTGGATTTTTCTTCTTTTTCTTTTTTAACTGACTTATGTTTTTATCTATTTTGCTTTTTAATCTATTTGATTACTCACTACTTTAAATTATCTTATTTTGTTTTAAGGGTGAAAAATATAGCTTTACATGGCTATGTTATGGTATTTTATATTTTCTATCTTAATTGGGAAGATGTATATTTTAAATTTATATAATATAATATTACTTTTTATTTAATTTATAGCACATCGCCTTGGTTCATTCGGGCGAGAGTCATGGCATTTTACAGGCTTGGAGCCTTGTAGCGCCTTTCGCCTTTCACAACACTGCAGCATATCTTATCGTTTAAGTTACTGCCTTTCGTTTATAATCTAGAACTATAACAAAGGGAGGGAAAGTGGACATTAAAGACTACAATATCTCCTCTGGTCATTTCCTTATTTTCATCACTCAACTATACAGAAGAGTACCGATTGAAAATCTAGAAAAAGCAACCTATCAATCAGAGATGAAATAACATATGCATCAAGCAAACTTATTCAGAAAACTTAATGGAAGTAAAGAAATAAAAGTGCAGCAAAACAGCTACAAAAAAAAAAATTACGCACATATGAAAAAAATTTCCGCGACAGATAAAAGACTATGCAAGGTTCAGTGATGACAGACCTCAGTCATTCGTTGAACTGAATATTTTAGCACTGCTACTTGCGACCACCAAACCCTCACCAACATCAAAGTCTAGACAGAAGAAATAAACCATTCCAGATAGTTAAGAAGTAACTAGAATCAAATGAAATAAGATTAAATTTCAACAAGAAGGCAATTCTGCAAACATCATGCAGAAAAAACAACAATGCCTGCAAAACAAATATTAGATTTCAACTACAAATTAGTTGTGCAGACAAAATGCCAATAACTCTACATGATCATGCTACAACATTGCAATAAACAGCTACAACAAGGTAAAAACAAAAACGATGGGCCTTACATCACAAAGTAGCCTTCACCATATCATCCCCTACGACCGAAAGTATGGGCACGGTACTCAAAAACTCATCAAGACCCTCAAAAAACCCGATCCCTTCAATATTATCCTCCTCCTCATTCCCAGGCCCATTCCTTTGACTTGGTCCAGGCGCAGCCTCATCCACCTCATTACTAAACATCACATTCAAATCCAACTTCCCCAGATCTTTTGCAGCCTTCTTCTTCCCGCTACTCCCTTCCCCTTTTCCCACGACCTCCTCTGGCACGCTACCCCCGCCATCACTATCCAAATTTTGAATATTTCCTGTCCCTGCCCCCGCCTCCTTCAGTCCTTCATTAGGCAATTTCTTCACTTTTTTATCGAGAGTTCCTTTCCCCTTGGCATTTTTTGCCTTCTTTCTCATATTTCTACCCCACTCATCACCAGAATCAGACTCCTCTTCACTTGGGTCAGAGATATCTATATACACATCATCTTTATATATCACTTTTTGCTTCGATTTATTATACATTTTACCACCACTATGAACAGCATCACCAGCTTGGAATGGAGTGGCAAACATTGCCGAAAAATGGCGACCAATTACTACCAAAACCATTAGCTCCTTTCTCATTATTACCAGAAAATCCCAATGGAAAAAATCCCCAGCAGCAAAAACATGCATCTTTACCAGTCACCGGCGGTGCTGGTATCATGACAGCATGAAATGCCCTCCTACAACTATGGCACCTCAGAATACACTCCTCGTAAGCTTTTGGATACTCATAAAGTATATAACAATAAGGACACGCAGTCCATAAACTCGGTGCCTCTGGCTCACTCGTACTCGTCTTCCTAGCTGACGGAGTTACATGCGTTGTCTCAATGACAGCAGCAGCGGTGGTGGGAGCTTTGAGCTTAGTCACTCGCCGGGTCGAACCAGCGACACTCCGCTTTGGAACTGATCGAGTTAGCCCAATCACAACTTCTGGCCAAGTTGGCTCCTTGGGAGTCTTGGACGGAGTTGACTGCTTTGGTGGCTCGGTAGCGGCCTTCAGCAGGGTAGGCTGCTTAGTTGGCTCAGTAGCGGCCTTAAGCGGGGTAGGTTGCTGAGTTGGCTCAGTTGGCTTCCGCTGAGGAGTTGATTGCTTAGTTGGCTCAGTAGCGGCCTTCAGCGGGGGAGGCTGATGAGTTGGCTCAGTGGGCTTCTGCTGAGGTTGTCGCCAAGCTGGCTCCGGGTGGTTTCTTTGCTGAGTTTGCGGCCGAAGTTAATCCAAGGGTTGGGGCTGAGTGGGGAACCGAACAGAAGACTCGGGCATCCTCGGCGTTGTGAACAGCGGGACTGGCCGAATCGGCTCTGGAGCATACGGCGCTTGCTGTTGAAATGGTGAAGGTGGCAGTTGCTGAGTCACAAGAAGACCGAGCTGACTCGGTTGCAACTCATGATCATACATTGCTTTCTTAGCAGGATTGGAAATAACGAGCCAAGCCTCCGACACAAGCTCGAACGCCTGATCAGCAAAGAGCAGCGTATTACTCGTCGGATTGAGCAATAAGGCGAGTTTCCGATACTGATTCGCAATGAGTTCGAGATCCTGAGTAAACCGACCAAGTTGGAGAATCGTATAGTAATCATAGTAGTGGTTGTTCTCAACGCATAACTCTCCGGCAAGAAGAGTGTCGGCAACGGCGATGATTTGGTCAGCGAATTGATAGAGTTTCGGGTCGGATTCTCGGGATCGGATCGCAAAGCTCTTAGCCCCGTGCAAGTCACGTGCGGCTAAGAGTTTCACTGATATAGATAACCCCCGTTCTGCTTCTACTCTGTAACCGTTTCCTCCTGCGCTGCTGCTCCCGTCCATTTCTTTTTATTTCTCTCTCTAAAAATACTTTCTCTCTCTACAAATTTATTGGTCTGTTATTTTAGTGGGCGAGGAGGAGGAAAACTTGAATTTTTTGAGTAGACGAAAAAGAACTGGAAGTTTTAGAGGAACTACGTAAATTGTCTGCCTTGAGGGATTTGAGGAGGGGTTGTTTTGGTCATTTCGTATATGTCCACGGTTTTGTCGTGTCGAAGGGAAATGGGAATGGTTGACTGTTGAGGGGTGTTTTGGTCATATAAGGAGGGAAAAGTGGTGTTTCTGTTTGTTAACGGGGATTTAAAAGGGGGTTATATTGGTCGTTAAAAAGTGTTGAGACAGCTAGTCAGCTACGGTCAAAATTTAAAAAACAAACCCGACCGTGAGACCTCCCTGGAACATGGCTATTAACCCATACCAGCCCGACAAGTTAATACGAAATTCAGTTAATTTGATTGCTAAATCAGTTTGGATTTGTTAAAAAATCAGTTGGTGTAATGATATTGTTAAACTTGGTAAGTCTCATAACCTTGATAATTTTGACAAGCTAAGATTGTTAAACTTGGTAAGTCAACTCATAACCTTGATAATTTTGACAAGCTAGAATGATATCTGGATTTTTTTAAAGTATAAAATTTTTTTTAGTTTTTTTAGTTGATTATTAATATTTTTTAAAGCCTCTTATATAAATATTAAAAAATATTTTATTTTTTTATTATGAAATTTAAAATTTATTATTATATATATACTCTACGTTTTAAATAAAAAAATTATGTTTATATCCTCTATGTTTACAAGAAAAAAATTATTTTTTTAATATGAAATAAAAAATATTTTAATTTAAATATTTTAAATTTAAAAAGATAACAAGATATTTTTTCCATGTGGGATTTGAAGCCCGTTAATATATATATATATATATATATATATATATATTTACAAGAAAAAAGTTATATTTTTTTAATATGAAATTTGAAATTTATTAATATAGGTACTTTTATATTCTAAAAAAAAATTATTTTTTCAATATGAAATTTGAAGTTATTTCTTATATATATTCCATGTTTATAAGAAAAAAGTTATAACTTTTAAATGTGGAATAAAAAACCTTTTAATTTAAATACTTCAACTTAAAAGGATAACATGATATTTTTTTAATGTGAGATTTAAAACCTTTTAATATATATACTATATGTTCATAAAAAAATAATATTTTTTAAATATAGGATTTGAAATAAATTAGTATATTATACTCTTATGTTTCTAAGAAAAGTTATTTTTTCAATGTGGAATTTGAAGCCATTTCATATATATACTTCATATTTACACGAAAAAAAATTATATTTTTCAATATAGGATAAAAAAACCTTTTAAATATTTTAACTTAAAAGGATAACATAATATATTTTTACCTTTTAAATATTTCAACTTAAAAGGATAATATAATATATTTTTAATATAAAATTTAAAATCTTTATATATATTCTATGTTCACAAGAAAAAAATTATATTTTTTCAATGTGAAGTAAAAAAAATTTGTATTTAAATACTTCAATTTAAAAATAAAATATAATATATTTTTAATTTAAGAAAGTATTTTGGTTATTTTTAGAGGAAACGAGGGTAGTGGTTTCCTTGTGATGTTTTTGTTTTTAATACATGGGTAGATTAATATTAAGGATTAATTTTTTTATCTCATCTTTTTTGGTTGAGTTGTAAAGCCTGGATTGGTGTAAAATCTTTCAAAGAGTAAAAAGAAGGTTAAGAGATGTGAAAGTGAGAGTGTCTAAGAGTATAATAGTCATTAAAATTAAGAAATTATATGGTCAATTTAAACTTGGTGACAAATGTTAAGGACTGAAGAAAAAAAGACTAGTTTTTTTTTTATTTGTTAATTTTGTTAGAAGTGATGTTATTAAACCTGGTTTCGTTTAGTTTGAGTTTAAAAAGAAATTGGTGGGAGTTAGAGTTAACCTAGTCAAAATTTGTTTTAATTTTTTAATAAAAAAATTGAAATAGTATTATTAATTTTTTTTAAAAGAAAACAACTAATGTTGTTTTAGTTAATCTAAATTAATATACTTAATCCATAATCTAAAATTTAAATCGAGTTATAAGCTAAACTAGATTTTATAATTTTAATTTATAATAAGTATAGAAAAATAAACATAAGCTTCTTTAAGTAAAAATATTGTTATTTAAAATTACATTCCAAACAATATTCCATGAAAATTTGAAATTTTATTTGTTTAAAATTATTTTTTTATATTTTTAAATTTTTTTAATATGTTAATATTAAAAATTATTTTTAAAAAATAAAAAAATATTTTAATATATTTCTAAAAAAAATAAACAATTGTTCTGCTTTGCAGTGTCGTTGATTGCATTACGATTCAGGCATCAATAGTACATATACCGGAGAGGAACTATGTAGCCTAGACAAATAATAGGCCTCTCAAAGATGGTGTTTGGCTACTCAGCTAAGGCTGTATTTTATTGAAAACATAATTAGTAATCATTTGGTAATGAAAAACAAAAAAATTGTTTATGAGTCCCATATTTAGAATGGAGGTAATGAAAAACAACAAATTATGCATCTTAATTATTGTTTATTGAACAGTGTAATTGACATGAATAGTATATATTAATAACATAAATAGTACAATTTTTTTATATTGTTTCCGTTTTTTTAGTATGTTAAATTTTTTAATATTTTTTTTAAAAAATACTTGTTTAAAGTAAATTAAATTCACTCGTACTATGATGTGAATAATATTTTTTTTCCTGAAAAACTAGTATATAGTGAATTAAATTCACTCGCACTATAATATCAATTTTATACCTGATAATATTTTATCTATACTAAAAAATTTATGAAAACTGTAGTTCTTATCGGATGAATTTTGTACGTAATGGAATTATAAATAGTTTAATGGAACAATAAAAAATATTTTATATAAAGTATTTTTTATTTCATGATGTAATTGAAGTAATTAATTCTACAATATTTAAACTTAAAACCATCAATATTAATATATATTTTTTGAAATTATTTTATAATCTCAATTTCAAAAGTATTCTTAACCAAACACATTAAACTACTTTTTTTTCGACCTCAATTTCAACCGCAGTTTTAACCAAACACCTATTTGTTCAAGACAACCTTAATTAAAAATATTTTTTATAAAATAATTTTTTTCAAGCCATAACCACAACAGTTACCGCAATACCAAACACACCCAAAAGGCTTAACATCTAGCTTCCCCCAATAGTTTATAGGCTTGACTAGGTCTATTGACTCTTCTCCATTCCATCCATATCAAAAAAAAATAATTTTAACTTTTATACATGTAGTATCCATATAAAAAAATAATTTTAACTTTTATACATGTATAGGTTTTATTAAGGTTTTTTTTTTTCCTTTGATGAACTAAGAAAAAATTTTAAATGTAAAAAAAAAACTTGACTCGTGTATTTAATTGAAGTAGTTAATAATTATTTGTGCAAAATTAAATAGCTTTTATTTTTTGTAATTTTATTTTTTAGTATTATATTATTAAACTTTGAATTTTATGATTTTTAAACATTTTTAATTTGCTGAGATAACCATGTTGACATAAGTTTTTTTTTCCTTAATTTTTTTATAAAATTAATTTTTTTCATCAATTTTATAATTTGGCATTAAGTTGTTGTGCTTGATCTTTGTTATTCTTAGATTTTATTTGTGTTAAGTTATCTTGAGAGTGGGAAAGTAAAGTTAACTTGAATTAACTTCTTTTATATATATATATATATATATATATATATATTAAACTTTAATTTTTTCACTAGTTTTTTCTTTTGAAATTTTATTTTTTATTATAATTTCATACGGCGAGTTATGGGTTAAACAAGCAGTTAGGGTTGACTCAAATTTTTTTCTTTGACATTATATTTTTTAAAATTGTCTTTTCTTATCCTTTGATGTTGGGTTATTAGACATTGAGCCTTGCAAAATAAATTTTTGTGAGTTATTTTGATTTTATATCTCTAGTTGTGTGCTAGTAAAGTTAACCTAAATTTGCTCAAAAAATTATTATTATATAATAATATAGTTTTGAAACTCAGCTCAGCGGGTTGACTCAAGACCCGGGCCAGGGTTGAGACTGGGTTAAGTTGAAGAAAAAACAGGGAAAAGACAAACTGGTGTGGCCCAGCTAACCCGACGGTGTGACTCGATAAAACTTGATTAGAAACCTGATTGCAGCTCGTTAGTTTTTTTTTACTAAAACAATCCAGTTAAAACTAGAAACCCCGGCTTTGGACCCGATCGGCCACCTAGTCGAGTATAAAAACTATAGATGATTTTAGTAAGTACAAGAATAAGCCGAGATAGTCTCCTTGTTTTGCAAGCCATTTATGGTATTACTAGATTATTTGCATGAACTACATTACATTAAATTAGAGGATAGATCATTTTTTTTTTGAAGTAAGAATAAATATCAAGTATTGCTAATGTTTTTCTAGTAAAAAAATTAAATTATATATAAGTTATTTTGATATAATTTGATTAACTTGATAAGTTTAAAAACAATATAAACAATAGGTAAAATATAGTTTAACTCAAAAAGTTCAAGATGCTATTTTTTAAAAATATTAAGACAATAACATATAGAATTGGCTTGAATTAACTAGATTAACCTGTCAAATTCACGATTTAAGTTATGAGACTATAATAACCCCATATAAATCAAATTAAAATAAATCATGAAATTTAATTCATAACAAACTTAATATTGAAAAAAAGAAGATAAAAAAATGATTTAAGTCAACTCAAGTTTATTTACCAAACTAACAACCACGGTTATGAGATTAAAATAACCTAGTAAAAAGTAAATCATAACAAATTATAAAGTCTAATTCTCAATTAACTCAATATTAAATGATGAGACTGAAAAGATCTCAATTAAAAAGAAAACAAAATGGCTTGAGATAATTTGGGCTAATCTGTCAAATACAAATTAAAATAAATTATAAAGTTCAATTCCCAGTAAAATTAACTTATCAAATTCTTAACATGAGTCATGAGATTATAATACAACCTGCAATAAATTATGAATAAACCAAATATTAAAGAAAAAAATTAAAATAAAATAGATTTTTTTTATAAAAAATATTATTACAACTAATAGTATTTTATAATGAGAAGTATAATAAAACAAGATTTCCATGAGAATAACATTTTTAATTATGAAAATTGTTTCCCTTTAAAATAAATAAAATATTTTACTAATATAAATATTCAATTCAGTTTATATATTTTTTAATTAATTAATAGTTTTAAAATTAAAATTTTAAATTGCCGTACCGAGGATATTTCTCCAAACCATTAGAATTAGTGATGTGATATATACATGATTAATATCATATAAAAAATAATCGTGAGGTAGAAAGGAGAACTAGTTCAGCATGTCCTAACCTTTTAGACTATTTCTCTAATCTTTTCTTAAAAGTTTAATCTCTCAATTTGTTTTTATATTTTGTAATTTGAGTGTTTGATTTTTTATTTTTATTTTGTTTGATACTTAGCTCTTTATTCTATTTATTTGATTATATTTGATTTTTTTTTAATTTAAGTTCTCTTTGACAACCAACTTTGAAAATATTAAAATGAACAGGATCGATTGACATATGACAGTCCCTAAGTAACATATTAAAAAAAGCAGGACTTGCCCGTATTTATTGAGAAATAAAATAAAATAATTCATAAAATAAAATAGGTGATAGAATTTGAAAGAAAAAGGAAACAATATTAATATTTTGTTTGTTCTTCTTTATTTTCCTTTTTCAATTTATTGCACCTGTTTTGTTTTGTTTTATATACACGAGAGGGACCCACCTTTATCTACGTGTCAGTTAATCCCGACCACATTAATATTTTCAAACCTCAAGTGAAAGAGGATGCTAAAATAAAAAAAATAAAAAAAATCAAAGGTTGATAAACTATTTTCAAATCAAAGGAAATGATTTAACACAACCATAGATATAAGAACATATTGGAATTAAATATACCAAAATATTTTTCTCATCCCTTAAACCCTTAGGGAATAATACTAAAATTTTTTATTTTTATATTTTAAAAGTATTTTTAAAAAGATTTAAATTTTTTTTATTTTTTCTTTACTTTAAAATAATTTTTTTTTATGTTTTTAGATTATTTTGAAGAGCTAATATAAAAAATATTTTTTTGATATTTTTTTGAATAAAACACACTTTAAAAAGTAGCTACAACCACATTACCTAATAGGTTAAACAATATTAAAGATGAGAAAAATAAATTATTGGATCATACCAAGTTATTATAAAAAATATTCAAACTTGTGGGTAAAATAATATAAATGCCTTTCACATTTTATCATTTACTTGTTTTTTTTTATCCTCATATAGTTTTTAGACAATTGCATAATTTTAGGGTTAAATTAAAATAATTATTTAAATTTTTGACCAAGAACAATGTTGAAAATAGAAGGATCAAATTGAAAAAAACAAATGAAAATAGATGGCCCTTTCAAAATCCTATGAAAAAGTACACTTTGGTTGTTATACTTTTTAAATTATAAGCTTTTGGTCCTTAATTTTTTTGACAGTTTTATTTTGGACCAAAACTTTATTTTTATTATTTTTAGTCAGTAAAACCAATAGCGGGTGTTACAAGATCAGATATCTACAACCACATTTATTTCTTGAAATTTCAATTTATTTTTTACTTAAATATTACTTATTATTTACTTGTTTCTCACATAAAATTATAAGATTTTTTTTAATATGTATAGCCTCGGACAATATCTTTTTCTTTGATTTTATTAAATTGTTTTCATGTGTGTGTTTGTCTATATTACTGTTTGATTAAATAAATAATGTATTCTAAAAAACAAAATTATTAAATACAATTTAATATATGACTCGTGTTATAAGATTAAATATCTTAATTTATATTTATCTATTTATTTTAAAAGTTTAGTCTTTAGTTATCATTAATAATTTTTTTTTTTACATTTTATGGCTTGAATAATCTTTGATTAAAGAAATATAATTATTAAATATAATTGGATACATAGCCCATATTGTAAGATGTTTATCTTTTTATTTTTTAAGTTTAGTCTTTATTTATCATTAAAGGTTTTTTTTTCATTTATTGGGACTGATAATTTTTTATTTATTTAATTCAATATATGCATAAGGTTTTTAATTTTTGATTGAGAACGTTTTATGAAAAAAAAATGAGAAACTTATATATATTTATTATTTTGGTAAAAAATAAAACTATTTAACCTGAGCACTAACTCAAATAACTAGTTGGTTCAAGTGATGATGTGGTAAAATTAAATGACGATATCTCGTGTTAAGTAATGGAAGGACTGTTCTGTTACGTGGCTGGAGAAAGAAGGACTGGCTTCCCCCAAGTGAGGTTTTCAGATTTGTTAATTGTGTACGTGTACAAGAAAAGGCAAGGGCATACTTTTTTTTAAAAAGTATTTTTAAAAGCTTTAAATTATTTTTTTGGGAATTTTTGAATTATTTTATAAATTAATATACAAAAATAAAAAAATTATTTTAATACTTTACAAGTAAAAAAACTCGTTAAAAACAACATCTACAGTAATATAAAAAATGCTCTAATTGTATAGAGTACAATCATAGTATAAATTATAGCTGTTAAATTTGATCTGACTTTGTAAATTGATTTAAAAAACCTGAGATTTAGAGCCTAAATGATGTAATTAAAAATAAAAGATAACTATAGTTGTTAAAACTAAACACTCTCAAGAATATTATAACAATAAAAAGATACTCAAATGATCAAAATATATAATCTTTTATTCATTATAGTCTTAATCGCCAAAAAGCTATCCCAACTTTTTATATATTAAAAAATAAAAAATTCTATTAGTATTAAATAAAGAATAAAAATAGAAAACATATTTCTTTTCAAATAGAAAAACTAAACAAACCTAACAATATTGAATAAGAAAAAATAAAATAAAAATTTCTATACTTAAAAGAAGAAAAAAAATAACTAATAAAAATTTGTTTTCCTAAAAAAGTTTGCATTGGATTTTTTGGATTGGAAAGAATTCTTCCTTAAATTTCAATTAATATTGAATAATTTTTTTTTTAATAGAAAAAAAAGGAATAAAATTTTTAAGATATCCTTTTAATGAGAGTCCATAGCTCCTCGCCGCTAAGTAAATATGGATAGAAATAAATCTCAACATTAGAGGATGACATAAATATAAATATGGCATGGTAGCCATTAATCCATTTTCCCTTTCAAATTGCTTTAAAAATTAGAGGTAAGCATTTGCACGAAATAGAATTTTTTTTTTAAAAAATAGAGTTAAAAAATAGAAAACAACACGACATTACTATCACTGCAAATCCAAATTCAAATTATATAACATTTAATATATTGATCCCTCACTCGTATTCATCTTTAATATTAATTATAATTAATATTTATTGATATTATTATTATTTTCATGCTGACAATATACTAATATGATATACTAGTATGACAATATACTAACATGATCCAATCGGAATTTAAATCTTGATTTTTCTAGATAATCTATTATATATTAAATATTTTTAAACAAAATGTAAAAAATAAATAAAAAAGTCATTTCATTCTCTTGCTTTCCTTTTTTTCCCCTTCCTACAGTAGCTTTTTTTTTTATTACCTCTGAGGCTGTTTATAACCAATTTTATTAGTGCAGTAGTGCAATTTTAATTCAATTAATAAATAATTTAAATTAATATATTTTAAAAATAGAATTTAATTGATTTTATTTTCTATAATATCTCATTATCTTTATTTTATTCTTTGCAAGATCTTTAATAACATAGATAAGTAGATGATTATTTTGAACAAAAATTAGTATTAATATTGATTTCCCCTCTATAATATAATAAATAGAAAGACATTGGTTTTTCTTTTTTAATATAGTAAATAAAGGGGTTGGTTTCTAATTTATTTTTATATATTTTTTAAATTTAATTTCATTTTAAATTCATGATATTCAATATGGTTTCGAAATTTTATTAATTTAATTTAATTTAGTGAGTTATGATTAGAATCTATTTGACATGTAAAAAATAATTTTTTATTTAAAAATATATTAAAATAATTATTTTTATTTTTTATATTTTTATACTAATACATCCAAATATATATATATAGATGTCGGAATCAAGTACCAGCCAGTACTTGCCTAGTTGGAAACTCCATGCAACACAAACACGGTTGGATCTTTACTTGGGTTTCTCCGTCTTTCTTGGAGACAAAAACAAGTGTTTCTTTCTTGTTCTTTCACCAACACATCAACCCCACCTCCCCTCTAATTCATTAATTCTCATCTATGTCTACTTGTCTTAAATCATCCTCATTTCTCTCCATCCAAAAGCACAAACTTTACCTTTCTTTGTCTCTCCAATGGCTGTCCCATTATCATCTTTCTCTCTTTCAAAGCACACTTTGTCCTCCTCTTCAATCCCTGCTTCTAACCCTTCATTGGATCCCTCTAAAGCTTCAGTCCTGAGAACCCAAAATGTAAACTTTTCCCTTTTCTCTCTGTGTATACATTTAGAGATATTTTATATAGTTTTTTTTTTGTTGGTTTCGTGTTTATTTGGTTTTCTTGTCGCAGGTCCTTGGTTCCAAGGGTAATTCAGAAGGAATTGAGCAAACCCAGTTGAGATTGTGTGGGGCTAATTTGAAGTAAGTTGGTGTTACTTTCTTTGGTTTTGTAAAAAGGTGCTCCTTTTGAATTTATTTTATTTCCTTATTTTTGTTTAATTTCTGTTGCTAAATCAAGAATTAGATCAAGTTTTAAACTTTTAATTTCACTGTTGCTAGTTGCTATTTTAATTTATTCAGCTGAATTGATTTGTAGTCAATCTTTATGTGATCACAATTTGAACTTAGAATATCTGGGATCTTCAAAATGGCCAGTTAGTTGCAGGTGGATGCATGTGGTTGCTTTTATAAAATGTATTATTCTTCCAGTACTTAGAAAAAAATATAAAACTCAATATACTATAGCGCAACGTAATTAGCCATTTAGTTTTTTTTTTTTTTTTGAGTTAAAAACAGACATTGGAATGTCATTTTTTGTTTACTCTGTCATCCCTTGGTTAAAATACCGAGGATTTTTTTTTTCCCGTGAATGATTTATCTAGTGACGTTGAGGATGTTACTGCCTGGTGATTTTCTGATGATTTGTTTTAGTCCTTTTGATCATCTATTTTATTTATAGGAGAGTGTATAGTTTATGCAATGACTCCTACCAGCAACCTTTGGAATTGAGCTTAAGAGACAAAGATAAGCATGTCTTTGTTTCGATACAAGTTATCTGCCATGTACTTGATTAGGTGGTGGCATATTTGCTTATTCTTCTACAATGGTTTGCAATGTTTTCAGGACAAATTCAGATTTGAAATTACAGGCTTCCATGGAGCCTGCTGGAGTGACTAAGGAACTTAAAAGTGACAAGTCAGAGCGCATGGCGGGAGTTGAACATGTTGATTTATTCAATGAGATGAAACAACGGTTTTTGAGCTTTAAGAAGCATAAATACATGTAAGCAGTGAAGAATTTGGCTTGACATGGTTTAGTTTTACTGAGACTTATCATGCCCTCTAATTGAGATAATTTTTGAGCAGGAAAGACTTGGAACACTATGAAAAGCTTGCCAAGGGACAAGCACCCAAGGTAATAATGGTCTTGCTAGTTTTTGAAGTATGCTGTACATATTATGGATGCATCTTAGCATCATATTTGGCTTTTACTGCATCTTTGCTGCTGAACAATCGGAAAAATAGTAGTACACATAATCTAACAAATTCAAGTGCAGTTTATGGTGATTGCTTGTGCAGACTCAAGGGTTTGCCCTTCGTCCATCTTAGGATTCCAGCCTGGTGAAGCTTTTGTCGTTCGCAACGTTGCAAACATGGTGCCACCATATGAGGTATATGATGTGTTGCATGAGGATGTCCTAACTTCATGTCTGTGTTTTATCTGAAGCATCGATGGCATGGAGTGAATGCTTAAATGATAGCCTAAAATATTTTTACCAGCATCCGTCCTTTTTGTTTGATCATTGTCTCTGTTTATGCAGAATGGACCATCTGAAACAAATGCGGCCTTAGAGTTTGCTGTAAATTCTCTTAAAGTAAGTTACACATGCCTACAACTCAAGGGTTCTTTCTTTTCTTCCTTTCCTTTGCATTTGTGGGTTTATAGAATGTGTATATGCATATTGTCAAAACTGGATTTTAAGCAGGGGACACCAGACTGTAAACTAATGAAGATCTCTTATGACTCATAATGACAAGCTTTTTCATCATGACCAGTGGATTTTGGGAAGTATTATATCTAAGAATCAATGTGCTCTACACCGGGCTCTAGATATGAAACAATATGGAAGCTAATGCTTCTGGACTCTCCTGAATTTATCTATTTTTTTTTGACAAATCATTAATGAATCCTTTTGCAGGTTGAAAACATTTTAGTAATTGGTCACAGTCGTTGTGGAGGTATCCGCGCCCTAATGAGTATGCATGATGATGTAGAACCAAGGTCCAGTGAAGATAATATCTGTTTTTGCAATTTTCAAATATCATCCTTTTGAAAGGTGTGACTTTATGTTTATCCTCTATTTTAACTCTTCTTATTTTTATCTATTTTCAGTAGCCTCATTGGAAGTTGGGTTTCTGTGGGGATGGATGCAAGAGTAAAAACAAAAGCTGCCGCTCATTTTCTGAACTTTGATCAGCAGTGCAAACATTGTGAGAAGGTAATTATGTTTTATGAAATTTAAAAGGCCATGTTTCTTGCTTTCATCCAGCATGCATGTCTGCATATTCCTAGTTATTTTTTTGTTTCTCCTTCAAGTATTGAGAACAAACCCCTGTTCCTAGGATTCTTTTTTATTTATTTTTGAGCATTTTTGTTTCATTCTGAGCATGAACTTCATAGATCTGACATCCGATTCTTGCTTGCTCTAACCAGTTCTCTCTTTCATTTGTCTTTTTTCTGTTAATTTGTTTTTGTTCATATCTTTCATAAAATATCTGACGTTGGCCAGCTTGATGTTTTTGAAATTCATGGCTATCATCTGAGAAATGGAGCGAAAAGTATAGTAACCGCATGTTTGTTGCTGGATTGGGTTTAGATTGGTCATTTTTTACTGTCCTGCGTTATCGTTATGCTATACAGTGAACTTGTGTAGTAGACAGCCCTACTTTGAAAAGGCAACCATTTTTTCTCCAATCGCATTTCTTTTCCTGTTTTATATTGAAAGTTTTGGGCCTCAATGCCACAAAATTTCGTCTTAATAAATAATGAATTCAGGACTGCTGCTAACCAGTGGGTAGAGAAGAATATAGTTTGATGAGAGGTGGTCTAAATAATCGAACCATACTTATGCTGAATGATTTCTTCATGATGTTGTTTCCTACAGGAATCAGTCAATTGTTCATTGGTAAACCTCCTCAGTTACCCTTGGGTAGAAGAAAAAGTGAGGAATGGAGAACTCAATATTCATGGTGGCTATTACGACTTCGTTGACTGTTCATTTGAGAAATGGACACTGTACAAGGAAAACAATATGAAGGACAAAAGTGGGAAAGTTTCAGTAAAAGACCGGGCATTTTGGTTCTGAAACTGTGCTGCTGATTTATCTGTATAATTTGTTGTTGTTTTCATTGTCATTGTTCTCGTTCGTGAAGTCTTCTTGCATTTTGTGCTTTGTTTATCCATGCACATGAAGACAATCAGAAAAATAACGTTATTCCCTCGAGCTCCTGGGATTAACTACCAAGTAATGTAAGTGCTGTTGTAATTATAGACACATTTGATGTCATAATCTGTAATACGTTGTACGACACGACATTTCATAGTTGATAAAGCAGTATTGTTTATTAATCTGGCATCAGAGCTTTCAAGTTCCAGATTCTGATGGATGATATTTGTGTTTTCTGCATGTCTGATGGCATGAATAAGTAAGAGATAGTTGAGTTTATTAATATAAATCATATCTTGATATTTACCTAATAGCTTAAGTTACTAATAGCTTTAATAAGTTGAAATAATTTAGCAGATTAATTTGACTTTTCATTCATCTGTAGACGTAAACTTACTATCAAACTTACTCGTTTCTCGAAAGCAATATGCAGAGTAGATATTCTAGTCCAAATCATGAAGAAGTGTAATAAAATTACACACAAAAGATTAGCCACCAAGTTCTTATGGTTTCTTTTCGCGCCAACATTTAATGCATGATATGGTTACAATGAACACATAAATTTGGCAAAATCCCAAATAACCCATCCTAAAACCGGCCCTTGATTTCAATTCCCATGAATGATGGATGAATTTGGTTTGATGAGCCCCCTAATGCACATGCATAGTTGTTAAATAAAGTGACTTCATTTTAATAAAAATAATTAACCTGAGTTGATCCAGTGATTTACGAGTTGACCCGGTAACCCGAACTCTTATTTGAATCAATCTCTAGCTGGTTCTGGAGTAAAATGGAAGTGCCAGCTAATCAATCTAGATGCACCAGGTTTTACTTCTCTGTTTTTTTTTTTTTTTCCTTTCCTCCGAAGGGTGTCTTTGAAAGCTGATTATGTTGTAGTAGAAGTGTAAGCAAGCATAACTGGTGAGAAGTTGAACTACCAAAATCCAAAATGTCCTGCCAACTCGCCCTCCAAAACCTCCCCATTCTCCACCTCCCACATCTATAAAAACCCAAAGGTTTTCTCACGGAAAAGCACTGCGAAAAGCACACCTCACACCACTTGTGATTTGCTAAAGCCTAAAACTCTCTCTTCCCTTAAGCCATTGCCATCTCCACAACCATGGCCAATCATATCTTCCCACTTTTCATTTCACCACTTATAGTGATCATGAGCATGTCATTGATAATCAGCCAGACAATTCTGGTAGAGGCACGCCAACTCTTGGAGGTAACATTGCCTGAGCTTCCGAAGCCTGAATTTCCCGAGCTTCCGAAGCCGGAGTTGCCTAAGCTGCCCGAATTCCCAATGCCTGAACTGCCAAAATTTGAAATACCAAAACTGCCTGAGCTTCCGAAGCCTGAATTTCCCGAGCTTCCCAAGCCGGAGTTGCCTAAGCTTCCCGAATTCCCAAAACCTGAACTGCCAAAATTCGAAATACCAAAACTGCCTGAGCTGCCGTCTTTTCCCCATTTTCCTGATCTGACTAAGCCCACAGTGCCAACTATTCCCTCCCACTCAACTACCAGTCCTTGAATGATGATGATCATACCATCTAATGTTTCATGTTATGGCAGACTTCATCTAGTTTGCTGGGTGTAATATCGTTTGGTGTGGTGATTATACCGTACTCTACTATTTCTTTATGCCATTTTTACTATTTATTACAGAATACTTGTATAAGGGTCATTAATACTATCATGTATTTTCTACTATAAGTAATATATATGGATACTCGTTTGGTTCTTTATTTTAAGCTGCTTAATTTGGCACAAACCATCAAGTGTGTTTTTGTTGTCACTTCATAATTCATATGTACGTGATACATGAGAAAAGAAGCACAAGTTAATTCGAGAAAAAACAAAAAAAGAAGATATATGAAAGCAATTTGTCACTATAAAAATCGTAGCCATGAATCTCAATTCTTAACTGCTAATCATTCATGTGAAATGTCTCTAATTTAATTAAATAATTAAGCTGATATCTAATTATAATTCGAGCGAAAGCTCTGTCGAAGAGTTGACGAATAGAAGCACTCTTCCTATAATGAGCTCTTAGGTTTTAATTTGAAAGAAAGGAGAAAAATGTCACCAAATGTGTGATTTGAGATTTTGAATATTGGATAGAAAAAATCAAAGCAATTCCTAGAATCGTGATGTGAAATTTCTAACTCATAAAATGTGCAAGAGACTATAAGAGAGTGAGAGCTATGGGCTCCATTTCAAAACCAAGCGAGTGCTGCCATACCCTGCTAGCTCGAGTCACATAACTCCCAAGCTCAAAGTAGCAAACTACAACATCACAAAGGCTTTCACATCATCTTTGTCGAATCCAGAGGCCCCAGCTCCCTTGATGGCATGCCTGATTTTCAGTTTGAAACTACCCCAGATGGTCTCCCTCTGATTGATGCTGATGCTACCCTAGACAGTTCATTTATCGGTCACTCTATCTCAATCTCTTAATTTCTTAGCCCCATTAATTTCGTGAGCTTCTTGCCATTTTCAATTGATGTGGATTTTGGTAACATCACGGTCATGACACAACAACACACTTGTGGAGCTTGCTAACAGCAAGAAAACCTTTTTGCGAATCAGACCTCATCTTGTCAGGGGGGAATCTACGATTTTTTGGCCTGAGTTTCTTGAAGAGTCTCAAGAGACAACTCTGATGGGAAGCTGGTGTCCGCAGCAACAAATCCTGAACCTCCCATCGATAGCAGAATTTGTAAGAGAGGTTCCCGGATCTGGTGATAGAAAAAGATACATGTTGTTGATATTAATTTAAATTATTAAAATAAATGATATTTATGTCAATTTTTTTTATAAAAAAATTTATATTAGATGTTTTTTTCACTTTAAAATAGATGAAAATTTAAATGAATTTGAGTTTGGGTTGATTTTTAGTTTCAGATTAATTTTAATTTTAATTTTAATTTTTTGAGTTGACTTTTAGTTTCAGATTAATTTTAGTTTTTATTTTTATTTTGTTGAAGTTATGAATAAGTTTATCATGATTTTTAAGATGTTATGGCTAAAAATTTGGTTGAAAAATAAATTTTAAAGTAAAAAAATTTAAGTTCTGATGCTTTAATTATCATAATAACTGAAATTTAGATCAAATTAAATATCATGTTATTTATTTTTTATTTTTTAATTTTATAAAAATTAATTGTCTAGCCCATATCTAACAAAAAATAATAAAGGTCTTGTCTTATGGGCCATAACAAAATAAAATAGATGGGCTAGGTTGGCTTGCAAGGTCTAGCACTTATCTTTTTTATATGTTTTTTTTTAAATTATTTATATTTAGATTATAGGTTGGCTTGCAAGGTCTGTACTTATCTTTTTTATATGTTTTTTTTTTAAATTATTTATATTTAGATTAATATTTATTTTTTCTTTTATTTTGTTTAAAAAACCTCTTTTAAATTAAAGTTATTTTTTGATTATGCATTTAATTTTTAAATTTTCTTATTCATCTATATTTTTTTTAATCTTTTGTATAAATAAACTATATTTTTAAAAATAAAAAATATTTATTTTTAAGTAATATTTCTAATATGTGTAGCCTTAATAATTATTTTATTCAATTAATTTAATATATGTGTCTTTTTCTATTATCGCTTGATGGAGTAAAATAATACTGTAATAAGCAAAATTTAGCAAATATAACCAGGTAAATATCCTATCTTGCAAAATTAAATATTTTAATCTATACATGTCTCTTAATTTTTTAATTTTAATTTTTAAGTGTTGTTAATGTCTTTTTATTTATTTATTTATATACATGGATATCAATTTATTTGATTACATGTGTATATAAACCTTTTGATTTACACTAAAATATTTTAAATTACATAAATACACTGAAAAAACATGTATATACAATTTTATTTTTACAAAATAAAAATATTTAACCCACAATGTAGTGCAGATCACATAATTTTTTTTTACTTTTTTTATTTTTGAAATCTATGTTTTTTTCCTCTAATTTTTTCCTTTAATATTTATTTTATTAGAGATTGAATATTATAATTTATTGTGATTTACTTTTTATATGATTATCTTAATTTCATGATTCATGTTATGAATTTAACATATTAATTTAGTTGATTCAAGTTTTTTAATTAATTTTTATTTTATTTTTTATTTAATATTAATTTAATTAATAATTAGATTTTATAATTTTAATAATAATTTAATTAATAATTAGATTTTATAATTTATTTTGATTTTTTTTTTATCAATTATCCTTATCTCATTATAATTTGATTACACCATTCATAAAATCTAGCTAGCAAGACGTGTCTAGTGCTTCATAATGTGGTTGCACCCAACAGGAAAATTTGAAAACGCAAAATCAAGTAACTTAAACGGATAATGCATCATATATACAATGATCAACCAAGACTTGATTAGGTGAGCTACCAAGACTCACCTGCACAAAATCACTCTTGAAACTGCCCTATTCTCGACGTCCCAGAAGTTGAGCTACCAAGACGACTCAAGCTTTCCCACCAAATTAATTATCTCCCTTGAAACTGCCCTATTCTCCACATCACACATCTATATATAAAACCCCAATACAAAGTGAAATCGGTACACCAAAGTGATTGGAGAAGCTTGCACACTTTGCAATTAGTATACGACTCTATTTAATTACTTTTTGAACTCCCCCTGATTTCCATCTCCAAAATCATGGCTTCTCTTCGTTTCTTGACATTTCTTTCACCACTCTTGCTGATCACTTTGTCAATGGTGGACAACACAAGCAGGACAGAAGCGCGCAGGATTTTGGAGACAACATTGCCTAAGGTTCCTGAGCTCCCCAAGCCTGAATTGCCTGAGCTGCCATCGTTGCCTAAGGTTGAACTTCCACCACTACCGAAACCTGAACTCCCTGTCCTGCCAAAACCTGAATTTCCTGAGCTGCTAAAAACTGAAGTTCCCAAATTGCCTGAATTGCCCCCTTTCCCCCACTTCCCTGAGCTTCCAAAGACCACATTACCTACCATACCAGCTCTTCCCAAGGATATCAAGCCACCTCAGTCTACTGCTAGTCCTTAAATGGCCATACCATTTCATATTTCTATTTATTAGACTCATGTGTCGTGAAATAACTTTAATATGTGGATAGGACTTTCGTCTGAGTGTTTGTTATTGTATTCCACACATTATTTTACGTTGTTGAGAGTTTGTTGTACTAAAATTTGTGTCTTCTGCAGTCCCTTTTCTACTATTTTAATGTTACAATATTATTTTTTCTTTCTTTTATGAAGAAAATGATAAGCAAATTGATTACTATATAAGCCGAAGGAATATATTAAAACACCAAGTGAGAAAAAAAGAAGAAGCAAACAAGGTTAAAAGGCAAAATACATGAGATGGAGGGCTAAATTAATATGCAACAAAAAAGAACAAAGAAAGCACAGGAAAATTCATGATTTTAATATAAGCTTCGACGATAAATTCTATCTAATCTATGATCCTGTGTGTATTGGTTTTTGTTATTTTTTTTCCGTTAATGTTTAGGATTATTCTTCAAAGAATTTATTTTTGGTTTGTAAAGCACTATCCTTTTACGAGGACACTTGGGTTGGTCGTGCCAAGCCGTGTAATGATCCCGAATGTGAGCCTGGCCTTACGCTGACAACCTGGCCCTCGCTTGATGCACTCCTTTTCTTCTTCTTCTTTTTTTTTCAAGTTTTATTCTAGTTTTCCTTTTTATATATTTTTTTCTTCTTCTTTTTCTTATTTTTTTAAGAAATTTTGAATATTATAATTCTCCTTCATCTCATTCTTAAGTAAAAATAACATCATTTTAAAAATTTATATAAAATAATATTATTTTAATTTTTTTAAAAAAAGTTAAGATAAATTTCACTTAAATCTTGACTTATTAATCAAGTCGTGAATTATCTACTAGATCAATCGAGCTAAAACAAATTAACTCTCAATCTAATTCAACTTAAAACCCAACTTGAGCGAGGTCTTCGGTTGTAAGGTTGAGCTAAATATTTAAGGTTCTTACAAATTAAGTAGAACCCAACTTCTCGACCCAGAAATGTTTTGTTTTTAGGAGATAAAGGGTTAGTGAGGAAACTGAGACAGGATGGAGAAATAAGAGGGGCCATAAGATGAAGAGATCAGTCATATTGTTTTGATCACCTTTTAGTCGTTTAACTCAACGTGCCCTTAAAAACTATTCTCACATAAAGGGACCATTTTTATCTTTAAGCACATAAAGGGACCAAGTTGTAAATAATGTTTTTTGTCAAATTATAAGACATACAAAGTAATTAAACTATGGTTTATAGCAAGTCGAGAGATCAAATTTCCATGTTGATGATACTTGAATATTGGAGTTGGCTAATTATGTATGTCCATTCTTCTTTCGTTTTCTCCTTCTTGAAAGAACGTTAGTAAGATCTTTCATAAAAAAATAGAATCTCATATGGATAAATATAACTGATTTAATTAAGAATATATCGAGATCTAAACAACAAAATTATTAAATCTTAGTCCAAATCAAAACCACCGGATTACGATTTTATTCTGTAGATCTTTTGATGAGTTTGTTGTCATCTTAGATTTCTTTATAATAAATAACCAAAGTCTTTTTCACATGGACTGATCAGTTAAAAGAAAATGGCTAAAATCCTTTGTTCTCTTATTTTTCTTTGTGCTTGCTTTGTTCTTTCTACTGGTGCTAGAGTTAATCATAGAATCCTGTCATCTTCTACTTTGGATCATGATGATGCTACCCCTACTGGCTCAAACTTTACCTTTGTTTGTGACCCCGCCAGATATGCTAGTTTGGGTATAGATGTCTCAAACTTTGCATTTTGTGACACTTCATTGTCTTATGAAGTTAGGGCAATGGATTTAGTCAATCAAATGACTTTGAATGAAAAAGTTCTGCAACTTGGAAACAAAGCTTATGGGGTGCCTAGGTTAGGGCTTGCTGAATATCAGTGGTGGTCAGAGGCTCTCCATGGAGTGTCAAATGTCGGTCCAGGAACCTTCTTTGACGATTTGATTCCTGGTTCAACAAGTTTCCCTACGGTGATAACTACTGCAGCAGCATTCAACGAGTCACTATGGAAAGTTATCGGGCAGGTAATTAATTAAATATGCTAAGCTTAACTTTTTCCTCTAAACAATCCATTTAAATGGGAAAAAAACTCATCATCCTGTGATTTTTACGTTTACAGTAATACTTTTTATAGAGAAATTATCATCGATAGACTCCTTTTGTAGTTCCAATCTCCTTGAAAACGCTTGATTAACCAGTTGCTTAATCCATTTGGTTCTGTTAGTTTTTTATTTTATTTTTTATGTCAGCCTTATATACTTTGAATCCATTTTGTTATTCTTTGTAGGCCGTTTCAACAGAAGCAAGAGCTATGTATAATCTAGGTCGGGCTGGATTAACTTATTGGAGTCCGAATATTAATGTAGTGAGGGATCCTCGATGGGGAAGAGCCATTGAGACACCAGGAGAAGATCCTTACCTTGTTGGCAGATATGCTGTTAATTATGTGAGAGGCTTACAAGATGTTGAGGGATCAGAGAATTACACGGATCCTAATTCTAGACCCCTCAAAGTATCCTCATGTTGCAAGCATTATGCTGCTTATGATGTTGATAATTGGAAAGGAGTTGAACGTTACACTTTTGATGCTAGAGTTACTATTCTTAACCTTGCAACACTTATTTTAAGGTTTTTTCTCGTACAAAAATACTGTAAGTAAACTTTTTCTCTCCTTTTGTATTCTGAAGGTGTCAGAACAAGACATGGTGGAGACATTCCTTCGACCTTTTGAAATGTGTGTCAAGGATGGTGATGTTAGCAGTGTTATGTGTTCTTACAATCGTGTTAATGGCATACCTACTTGTGCTGATCCGAAGCTTTTAAATCAAACTATTAGAGGAGATTGGGACCTACACGGGTACAGCATCAAAATCCAATATCATTGTCTTTTCTTTTATTGATTTTTTTCTTGTCATTTGAACTTAAATTTTGTTTATATATATATATATATATATATATATATATATTCTGCCAATACTGATTATTAAGAATTGCAAGCATCTTGTGCCCTTTGATACTAACTATAAATACAAAATAGCCACACCGGTTTCTCATATAAGTTCAACCTCTAGCTCTTCCCTCAAGTGTTTATATAAATATTTAATCATTTAATTATATATTTTAATATTATTGATTTCGCAGATACATAGTTTCTGATTGTGATTCCTTACAAGTAATGGTTGACAATCATAAATGGCTTGGTGATACCAAAGAGGATGCAGTTGCACAAGCTCTTAAAGCAGGCGAGGATAATTAATGTTTGTAGATTATCAGATTTTGAATATAAATGTTTGCATTATCAAATTAATAATAATATTATTGTTTTTAGGTTTGGATTTGGATTGTGGAGCTTACTACACGGAGAATGTTGAAGCTGCAGTTAGACAAGGGAAAGTCAGGGAGGCAGACATAGACAAGTCCCTGAATTTCCTTTATGTGGTTCTAATGAGATTAGGGTTTTTCGATGGAATCCCCCAATACAACTCTTTTGGCAAGCATGATGTGTGCTCGAAGGAAAATATTGAGTTAGCAACCGAAGCTGCAAGGGAGGGGGCTGTCCTTCTGAAAAATGAAAATGACAGTCTACCTTTGAGCACTGGAAAAGTTAAAACCTTAGCCGTGATTGGACCTCATTCTAATGCTACCTCAGCTATGATTGGAAACTATGCTGGTACTTAATTTTAAGCAAAAAATTATATTTACATATATATATATATATTAATTTTAAAGACAATATAAATTTATAGTTTATTATGCACATTTTTGCTCTAATATAGCTTTGTTCATCTATCTTGTTGTAGGTATTCCATGCCAAATCATTACTCCTATTGAAGGGTTATCAAAATTTGCGAAAGTGGATTATCAAATGGGATGCAGTGATATTGCATGCAAGGATGAGAGCTTTATATTCCCAGCAATGGAATCTGCAAAGAAAGCCGATGCCACTATTATTTTAGCTGGCATAGATTTGTCTATCGAGGCTGAAAGTCTTGATAGGGATGACCTTCTCCTTCCAGGCTACCAAACTCAACTCATCAATCAAGTTGCTAGTGTTTCTAATGGCCCGGTTGTTCTTGTACTCATGTCTGCTGGAGGTGTAGATATCTCTTTTGCCAAGAGTAATGGAGATATCAAATCTATTTTGTGGGTTGGATACCCCGGAGAAGAGGGAGGAAATGCTATCGCAGATGTTATTTTTGGCAAATATAACCCAGGTAATTTAGATTTCTTGAATATTCATGAAAATGATCATGTCTGTGTATCTTTTTTATACAATATATAAAGATGATATGGTACATGAACGCAGGAGGAAGATTACCACTCACATGGCATGAAGCTGATTACGTGGATATGCTCCCAATGACGTCTATGCCTTTGAGACCAATTGATAGCCTAGGCTACCCAGGTCGTACTTACAAGTTCTTTAATGGATCTACTGTTTATCCATTTGGACATGGACTGAGTTATACTCAATTCACTTATAAGTTGACATCTTCGATAAGATCACTCGACATCAAATTGGATAAGTATCAATATTGTCATGATTTGGGATACGAGAACGACTCGTTCAAGCCTTCTTGTCCTGCAATTCGAGTTGATGATTCTCAGTATAATGATCATTTTGAATTTGAAGTTGAAGTCCAGAACGCAGGCTCTAAAGATGGGAGTGAAGTGGTCATTGTCTATGCAAAGCCACCAGAAGGAATTGACGCCACCTACATCAAGCAAGTTATTGGTTTCAAGAGGGTATTTGTTCCTGCTGGAGGCAGTGAAAAGGTGAAATTTGAGTTCAATGCTAGCAAGAGTTTACAGGTTGTAGACTTCAACGCCTACAGTGTTTTGCCTTCTGGTGGACACACTATTATGCTTGGAGATGATATAATTTCTTTTCCTGTCCAAATAAGATTTTGTTAGGTGTAGGATTATGCTGTGATTAGCTACTAGTTTTTCCACTGAATGTTTTGTTTATGAAATTTTCAATTTATCAAATAAATAGTACTAGTTTCTTTATTGTTCGAGATTTTATCGTTTTGAACTAGTTTCTTTCCAAAGTTACTATCACTTAGTTTCATAGTTCCTTGTGTTGTAAGCCCGACATTACAGGTTAAACTTGTCCTTACTTGGATAATAGTATTTTTTCCTCAATAGGATGAAACCATGTTTGATTTTTTGTTTTTCACTAAAGAAAAAGGACAAATTAGGCTTTGAGCTTGCAAACCCTTCACTGACCAATTTCCCGGGAAACAAACAGAGAGAGAGAGAGAGAGAGGGAGGGAGGGAGAGAACAGATGTAATTGGTCAACAACAATTTCCATGGAACAACTGGTCCATCAATGGATGATGCATAAGAAGTTGGAACTAGCTCTAACAATAACAAAGCTCAAAGTGTCTGTCTTGTTTTCTGAACTACACCAACCCCACATTACAGGTTAGATCTCTCCTACTTATCCATCAATGACCTATGTAAACCCCAACACTAGTCTGATTTGTCACAACAACCTCATAAAATTCCTAATTAGCTTGCATATTTGTCTAGATCATTGTCTGCTAAGCCCTTGAAGGTTAATAATATGGCAGGATTCAACTGTTTTTTCATCTTAACTCTATTCATTGCTTTGCTAGTTTCAGGAGGCCAAGCAGCTCGTCATCTTCTGCAAATTCCACCTCTACCTTCTATCCCGAATTTGCCTAAACCTACAATGCCACCATTGCCTTCTATCCCAACACTGCCGCAGCCCACATTGCCAACCTTCTTTGCCTAAGCCCCGCTCTGCCGCCACTGCCAAGCAATATGCCTTCAATCCCCACTATCCCTGCTATAATTCCTACCCCCTTCCTCTCCCCACCACCTGGAAACTAAGCCTTGTGCCTCGTTGTAGAGGTTATGCTGGTTTATCAAGCGGACGTCCTGTGAGAAAATCATTTGTTTGTTTCTGGTTTACTTCATGTATTTTAGCATTAATATTGGTTCCTCTTTTCATTGTCATTGTATCATATATACAGTTATGATTAACGGTTTAGACATTAATTTGATTACTTTGTTCTTAGTTTTCTTTTAATTTTTCTTTCCAAAGGCTCGTAGCTTTGAACAACAATGAATCATCATTATATATATATATATATATATCTTGATCTATTTTCTTGTCTCAATTAATTAAGTTAATTTCTAGGTCCATCGAAGATGATAGACAAAGTAGATTTGCTGAAATGAAGATGAAATGAATTGAATTGAACTAATTAATTTGGTCTTTTGTTCAATTTGGTTGGATTTTTTAAACCAATTTAAAATGTTTTAACGATGCGCACCCCTCGTAAATTCATTACCGTAAAACGAAGCTTAACCAAAACACCAGAGATAGGAAATTAATTAATATTTAAATAGAAAAAAATTAATGCAAAAAAAAAAAAAACGTTAGGTGCTGATGAATCTGATAGGCTAAGTCCACAAAAAAGCTTGGGCATTCCTAGCTCCCTAACATTTTTTTATTTTATCAGGAGTCGTCTGCTCCATATTGTTTTCTTTTTAATAACCAAGCTACAAATTGCCTTAGGCGTCCTGTCATCTGTGAGAAAGTTTTCGATTATCTAAACTTGTAGTACAATCTTTTAGTGTTAAAAATCTAATTTTAACTTTATTTTTATTTAAAAATACTTTAAAAACACCATGATATATAATCTTCTTGATAAACTAATTCTCAACCATGAAATATTCTAAAATCAAATGAATAAAAAAAATTAAACAAATTCTTAATCTATTTTTTTTATCTTTATAGAAAAATACTATTTTTATTAATTTTTTTTTTAAAAACAAACTCATATTATGGTCGGAATATGATCATTTAATAATTTTTTCTTTTTTTTTTTAAAAAAATTTGGACAACATTTTTTTCTCTCTTAACACTCAATAACTGAAAATAACTGAAATTTTTTAAAAATAAAATTTAATATTGTAATTTGAACCTCTAAAATAATAAGTAACTAATGATAATTTACTGCAGTTTCCATATTAAAATATAAAAGGGGCTTGTGTTTTTTTTTCTTTTCAAATTCATCTTTATTCTTTTAGTTTTGTTTTGCAATCCTAATTAAATTTTGATTTAACAAAATTGGAATCCAATTCATCTTTAGCTATCCCTTAACAACAAGCAAATGAGAAATAACGTAAATTGATAGAAATGTAAATGAAAAAGAACATGATATTGTAACATGACAATTTTTTTTAAATAAAAGTTCGATATGGTAAAAAGGAAAGCAATATTCAAAATGATAAAATATTACTTTTACAAAATTAAAAGTGAGATCTTCAGGCCAGCCTGGTAACTATATACAACTAATTAACTTTGCTCAATAGTTTAAATGGTCAACAAATGCAAGTTTGAGTCCTGCACCAATATCTAACTTCAAGAAAAATGGTATTGTTTTCGTGGTATTTGTTTTCAATGGAAGATGGATAAGAAGGTGACCTACCATTAACAAAACTCAAAATGATTGCTTTTTTTTTTCTTTCTATACTAAACCAACCATCTGTCACAGATTACAGGGAGATCTCTTCTATAATATCTCCATCTATATAAACCCATTACGAGCCCTGGTTTATCACGAACAATCTCATACTGTTCTTTGTTTGCTTATTCGTAGGCCATTAATTCAGAAGCAAGATGGCAAGTTTTAACTGTTTCATCTTGGCTCTCCTCATTGCTTTCTTTTTTCCAGGCGGCGAGGCAGCTCGTCATCTTCTACAATTGCCCCCTTTACCTTCCGTGCCAAATTTGCCTAAACCAACGTTGCCACCAATGCCTTCTATACCAACATTGCCACAGCCCACCTTGCCAACTTTGCCCACCACACAACCTTCACTGCCTAAACCCACACTGCCTCCACTTCCCAGCTTGCCAACAATGCCTAGTCTCCCCAAGGTGACCTTGCCTCCACTTCCAAGCTTGCCCTCAAATATTCCCACCATCCCTATCCCAACTACAATTCCTTCTATTCCATTCCTCTCCCCACCACCAGCTGGAAACTAGACCATGTTCTTCTTCATATTCAATTTGATTATTAAACTTTCATGTCAGAAGCTCATATCTTTTCAGTGCGTTGTTATTGATGGAGTATTCTGAGGAATTGTGTTTGTTAATGGTGTTCTTTATTTTTTTCCACTGTTGTTTCCCTCTTATTTTTTTTTTATCTATACCTATTTGTTTCCTTGTATTACGTATAGCTATATCATTGTCAATTTTAAGTAAATAAATTTGCTTTCATACATGTTTATGGTGTTGTTCCACAGTTAATTAATCATATTTATTTGGTGGTATATATAAAAGGTTCTTGATCCTTCCGATAATGTTAACCAAATTATTTTGGTTTAAAAAATCTAGTGGTATTACCAAATCCATGGCTAGTCTTCCTTTCAGTGTTCATCATTCATTTCATGACTCATGAGCTCCTATCAATTACTCGAAAACATATAAAAGGAAAAAAGAAAAACACCAGACCGCTGCAATAGACTGGGAAAACTGTTGATATCTAGCAAGAGATCAATTGAGTACAACGTTAATACTAGATATAGGCCCCATGTGTTCTACGCTTACAAATTAAACCCGCTCTTTCTCTGACCAGTGAGTTAATTCAGGAAATCCATGATTCGGTGGAGATTTGTAGCAAATTGTCAACATAACATTTTTTTCAACATTTTTTCTCAACCACCCTCTCCTTTAACAACCACCATCAACCACCCTCAACCAAGTTGCCAAGGCTCTCCTATAAATAGAGATAAAGAGAGAGCAATGTATAAGTGTAGTGAAAATGTGGTGAGAGCAAAAGGATGAAAGTGTGGTGAGTGTAACTGTGAGAGTGAGAAAATACAGATTTGAGAGAAACACCGAGTGTAAGAGTGAAACACCCGGTTAA